TTTTGCATCAAAAAAAATAATAAAAATTGGCCTCAGCAACAAACATTGATCATCCTTGTGTACAAGTGAACACGTTTTCTAAATCAACTTTTAGTATTTCAGAAATCTGAGGAAACATATTAGTAGTAAGTTATAAGTAGCGCTGTGACTTTGAGCTGATATGAACCCAGCAGCTAATGTGCTTTATGTCGATCAACATAGTGCAGAAAGTCTCACAGTCCAGCATCTACTCTGAGTAACGGCTCACAAAACACATGGAGGGGCTTTCAAATGGACATGCAGATCAATCAGAAAGGAGCTGATGAATTGAGATTGTTGTGTCCAGCTTAGCTTAGATATCAGTCTGCTGAAGCTGCACTTTATTTTGCAAGCATTTCACTGATTTACATGTTTAGTATGGAAATAATGCCAAGATTGTTGATTGAAGTTAGATTGTAAGTAAAAATTCCTGGAGGGCATGTTTTAAAAGTTTTAACTGCATGTAATGTGTTCTCCGCATGTCAGTTGGAGTTTTTGAGGGACTCTTCAGCCATGAAAGTTTACTAATAACAGGTTTGTTCAGCAAGCAGTGTCGACAAGCTCTCCAGCACTCCCTACCTTGAGCTCCACATTTGTCAGGTGTTGCACTGGTTTCTAAATTTCACTCTCCGTTTGTTTCCACACTAATAAGTCTTCGTTCCCCCACATTTGGCTCAGAATTTCTCACAGACCTCCCCACACCTTCTTGTAACTGCCCGTTCCAGACTACAGAGCAGTTTGAGGAGATTTTGCATTGTCCATTTTGTCTGCACATGTACAAGATGGTCAAATTCTCCCCACCTACATGTGCAACATAAACCCTGCACTGCGGGGCGGGTGCAGGGGCGAGTGGGAAGCTTGATGAATGGCTGCGTGTGCAGGAAGCAGGTATTGATGGCTCTGTCAGACCAGCGCGATTCAAAGTTTCACTGGGGCCCCAGGAAATTTTCCACTGTTGGTTTTTCCAGTCCAGGTGATTCATCAGGAGGGTGTTAAAGTGTGCGGGTGTGTGTGTGTGTGTGTGTTTGAGCAGCTGTTTTACTGCTGAGCTGCAAATAAGTCCTCCACTCAACAAGAGTTAATCCTGCCTGTTTGAAGCTCGTTGGCTCAGTGTGAGCCCCCTTCTGCTTTCATATGCTTTTGTGTTCATTTCAAGTCTCTGCTTCCTTTACATTCTGTCTAGTTCCAGCCACACAGCACTCCGTTGCTGCAGCCTTTAGATTACATCAGCTGTAATGGTCTGTACTCTGTAATTAATGTAAAATCAGGCCAACTTAAAGGGGAATTCCACTGGTTTTTGTGTAATGAGATGGTTAAAATGCAACGTTAGAACTGTTCACAGTGGTGGTGACAGGAACCAGACGTCCACCTCTAAAAGCTCCCTCACAGAAAGTTATTACATGAAAGGTTATTACACTGCCTGATGTCTGAGACGCTGTTTTACGGTAGTTTTGAGAAGATTTTGGCCTTAAATCTATTCATGGTGAAGGGATACATGCACATGCAAAATAGTCCCCAAAGAAAGTTTATTATTTCAGATTTTTCACTATTTTCCCATCATAAACGTTTTATATAAAACTCAGAAGGCATGTGTAGGTTCACTGGTGGTTTTTGATTAGTAAATAAAATGTCTATATTTGTGTTGTAGTCTTGGTGACCCCTGTATCACCACCACTGTAAAGAAATCTGAACCGTTTCACACCAGTCTACTCTGAAAGACTTTCTCAAAGTCGTAAGTTATGCAGAAATTTTGAACAAATCAGAGGAATTGCCCTTTTTATGGGGAGTCAACGCTACTTTATCACTTTGGCCTGTATCAGTTTTTTTCCTTCTCCAGCATTTACTCTTACTTACTTGCGCACTTGCTCATTAACTGTTACGGATATTTGAATAGCAAAATTAGTCCTCCTTTATTCGTGGACATTTAGCTCACTGTGCAAGAGAACTCTTCTTCAGCAAATATTACTTTAGCTAATATTGATCTGATAAAACAGCACAAGGAAGTATTTATCCATCGTGACAGTTCTAAGGAGTGCCCAGTACATACGGCAAGTGGGTTTAATACATTTACCTTTCTGATCAGCTGAGATGCTGATGATTAATTGCAATATTGTTGATACAGCAATGCAGTGCCTGACCTAACAGCATTCCATTGTCCAGTCCGTATGGAATCCTGTGTTAGCGTTGTGCTTTCATGCCAGGGTCCACAGGCTGGTCCAACTGGATTAAATATAGACCCAGAAAGTGCTGGGCCCAGCCACACATTATTTATATAAGGGTATACTTCTCTGTAAGTAAATATTTGAACTGGCGAGGCGACGCCATTTACCAGGCACTGCAAAAATGCACCTTGTGGCGTCCTCACCTCGTACCATTGGTGAGGGACCAATAGAAATCCAAGAAGGGTTTATTCAGAGCTGCCAAATGACTAAACGTTTGCAGCTTTTCCCATGCATTCAAGAGGATCAAGTATGATTATTAGGACAAACCCACACTCACCATCGTAATAAATGTCTTTCTAAGAACCCCAGGGGTTAGTCATCAAAGCCCAGTCGGTGATTAAAGATTTCCACTGGTTACTGTGTCACCGAGATTCATTGGCGAGCCTCAGTGGCTTTCCACGTTGGTTGGAAAGCAGCACCGCAGTTGGACAGGTGGAGTTACCACACTGGCCAAGTCTGGCATTTTTTTTCCTCATCACCTCTTAGATGTTTTCATTTTCTCTCTTTTTTTAGAGCTTACTCGCCTCATAACATTGTGCGTGTGAGCTGTTTTGGCTCTAATATAATCTGTGTACAATCTCTGATGCTTTTTTTGTACATTGCCATGAAATATGTAGACTCATGTTAAAGCACTTTTATGTTTATAATACAAAGGCCCTGCTTGTTTTTGATTAAAGGCAGAACAGCTACCCTGTTTGCCTAGAAATCACCAGGGTCGCCTGTGCAAATATTTACCTGCCTTGGACCAGCAAGAGGTACTTGAATGGCACCTGTCGGCCAGATGTTTTCGGCAGGCACTTTATGGCAGGGCAGCTGTCCTTCTAGCCTGCTGCGGTCTTTGAACTGTATATTTTTCTTGTGTCTCTAGGTTTCGAGGCATTGGATGTATGGCTGTGTGTTGTGAATATCGTAGTCAATGGCATTGACGTGCTCTTCTTTTACACCCCTATGATGGTCCATGTGTAATACATCACATTGAACTGTCGCAGTAATGTCAACATGTGAAATCTGAAATGGAAACCCAGTAGTTCATGTCGTACCAAATGAGATGCTACTCTATAAATACGATACAATACAAACAGTAATAAAGAGTGTTTGGTTATGGATTTTACAACATAGTAGGCATTCTTTCCTTGAGCAGGTCACTTAACCCTGAGCTGAGCTGCTTAAGGGAGGCTGTATCTGCAGTCTGAGTACTGAAATATTCATCGCCCCAGAGCAAATGACATCACCAAGGAAGAATGAAGGGGTGTGATGTCTTCTGAAGTACCAACACTGAATCATGGTGACGTGAGGATGAGAATGCTGGGATCAGCCAGTTATTCTCAGCTGAATGGGTACAAGCTCTGCATGGTGTCTGTAAGGAGCTTTGTGCTCCTATCAGGGAGAAATATTGTAATTTAGCAATATCACCTCTTAGAAGATGTAGTTGGCAGAACCAAGAAGATCTTTGGCAATGATTTATGATTAAGGAAGAGGGTTTAAAATTGAGCTCCATTATACAATATTTTACAAATATACTATGGTATCATGGCATCATGTAATTTTTAAATTATCATTTATAAAGTTAATGAGCTTTCTGGGTGCTGCAAATGAACAATGAAAGAGTGGCTGATAATCCTGACTGAGTTTGTTCTGATTGACTGTTTTGTTGTTTTATGAACCATCTGAAGTAAATAACACTCACTTCAGTTTAGCTGTCAGATCCTGGTGAGCACCACTAAAGAATACAGCTTAGAATTCAAAATTAAAAACAAATCCTTGGTAATTTTATTGGCAGTATATCATGATTGGCATTATATCGTTACTATTATTAGTTTCTTCATCCTTGATCTGCCCAGTGCTGATCTAAATTGTGTTTCTTGGGGTGTACGAACACTAGATGATCCGTACCGTGTCCGAGCACGTAGGACCCCCGAAGTCCAGTTCGTTTGACTAGAGTGATCACTCCATACTGTGCCCAGGCCTGAGATGGGTTCAGGCACAGTTCATTTGGACTCGGGCACAGTGCACGTCTAGTGTGATCGCAAACCACGTCCGGGCGTGGAACTTGAATGTGACGTCAGTGATGCGACTGTCCCACTTTAAGTTATTCAAGAAAATTTTGGTTAATAATGATTTCGCATCCCATCTTATTGAACAATGTGAATTGTAGTCAGCAAGTAAAGCTGCAACTACACAACATGTAGCATCGCGATGACTTTGGTGTGATCGGGCCTGAATCGTGCGAATGCAAGCCAGTGGGGGAGTGGGAAAGGAGGACAGTCGTGCTTGGACATGATACAAGACAACCACGCACAGTGTCATCAGTATTATTAGGTGCCATCAAGTCAGTTCAGACTCTTGATGACCATATGGTTAGTGGTTTTCCAGAATATCCTGTCTTGCATGAAGGTTTAGGTGACTATTCACTGTCAGTAAGTTAGCACCGTTATTTTAGCAGCTCCTAAAGAAGCAAAATTTGATCAACTGAATGTGGGGTTATTTTCACAAAGTGTTCTTTTAATTGTAGCTAGTAGCTGGTCTCACAGCCATTCTTGCATTGATTGCAAAACATTTCTACTGTAATCTTCTTTTGACGATTGCTTAAATCAGCATCTTGGAAAAATGACAGCATACCACAAATGTGAAATAATACCAAACAGAGGCTACATCTGCTAATATTTCAATTAAAATCAAATTATTAGTAAGAAATGTGATGAAGCCTTATCGTTTATTTCATGTTTTTGGGCTGAACTTGATGTTTTGACCTATCCACAGGTTCCAGAGTCCACAGACCTCTCCCATGGCAGATGCTCGGATAGAGGCCCCAGTACAAGTCAGCATAGCCACACCTCCCAGGGATCTACTGCACCGTCCTTCTCGTACCAGGAGCAGCCTCAGCGGGCAGCACCAGACGGCGGAGTCCCTGCTGCACTGGCCAGCACCCTGGAGCACATAGTGGGTCAGCTTGATATACTTACTCAGGTAAACATACATGACTCGTCTCACAGTCACTGAAACAAAATGTGTAGCTTAGCCAGATTCACTAATGGACTGTGGGTAAAATATAGTTTTATAATTGCTTGAAGATCTTCTAAAACATATTAATTTACGTGACTTACATTATGGTTTTTCATTATGCTGGTTCAAGTAAAGCCTCAGCCAGGAATTGGTGCAACGGGTGAGTCAAACCTGGAGCAGAAGTTTCACTGCACATTTAAAAACAAAGACCCGGTGATGCTACAGCCGTCCATGGCTGCGAGTCCAAGGGAGCATGGTTGCCCTTGCTCTGTCTGGGTGGGTAGGATGACCCCCTGTCTCCTCCCATCATTCAACACGAAGCCAGCTATCGCAGGAGTCTGTTAGCTGGCATAACAGAAGTGCCGGTTAGCATTCTCCTTCGAGCGTGTTCAGCTGTCCAGTAATGTTGCGTTAGCAGCAGTTTGAAAAGATGCAGTGGAGGCTAGCCTGTGCTAGCTTTCACCCTCCTAGGTAGTATTGTGTGATTGGGGGAGTCATGAATAGTGGTTTGAATCCGAAGTGCTTAAATTGGGGAGAAAATTGGGGAAAAAAAACATAAACTTAGGGCTCTACTTCTAGTCATAGTTTGTTTTTCACCTACTTGTGACATCTGGAAGCATCATTATAACCACAGTTAATGTTTTTTATTGTCTTTTTGGTGAAATAGACAGAGATTTCAGTTCTCTTCCCACCCCCGGTCGTAACCGCGTCAGTCTCGGCTCTTTTCAGTTTTTGGGCCGATCCGCTTCCTCACGTGGTACTGATTTCTCAACCAGTGCTGTTTTCCTTCTACTGACCTTTGTAAAAGTTTGATCTCTGCTACCATGCCTGCTGAGGCTGCTGCTGAATTATTCATGTCGTCTCATTTCCTCGGGGCACAGAGACCTCAGCGGGGACACTTAACTCTAAACTACAGGCTCTGCAGGGGCCGAGGCAAACGAGTTAATCTACTGTGTCCCGCTGTCTCCTGACTATAAGGTAATTCAGAACTTGTAGGGCATAACATGGCCATTTTCAGGACATTGACAATGCAAAAAATGCTGTCTTAGCAAGTGAAAACATCTTAAATCTAGTCAGTATGTCTAATATTTCTCATTATGAGATTGTTGTAAGATTTTTAAACTCGCTCTTAAAAAGACGAATAATTTTGCTTATTTTTAGGAAATAGTGCCTGAAACCATATAGAACCATCTACAGCGCATTCTGAAGAAATTCAAATCAGGCAAAATGTTCTTTAAGTGGAGCTATTCATTGTTCTTTATCATTTTCTTTACTTAAGAAGACTGGAAGAACCTTTTTTGAGAGTGTAATTTGAGACATTTTTTCCTCATTTTATCAAATGAATATGTTCCACTGTCCGATAACTTTACTTGTTTCAGGCATTATCTCCTAAAAATAAGCTAAATTATTTGCATTATTTTGTGAACAAAGGAACATTTTCTGCCAGTGGAATACTTTCTCAATTTAAAACAAGTAAAAAATGTAAAGAAATCATTTGAAACATCTTCTTACAAAAATCTCATGATGAGAAAAATGATATATACGGACTACATTTAAGATGTTTTTGCTTGTTTAGATGTCATGCACTGCGAAAAGAGCAATTTGTAGGGAACTATCTATCAGCTTAGCTTTTCTACATTATGAACAAGCTTGAACCAATCACGGTCCAGTTTACTAAAATATGCTAATGAAAGAATACACCAGACTGCCACAAGAAGCAAAGTGATGCCAGCGCCCAATCCGCATGTGCCAACAAGAGTCTTGGGAAGTGAAAGAGAGAGATGGCTATTCCTGTGTTGCCTCAGCCTTCACTTACCATGGTAACTCCACCAGAGCTAAATGTAAGCTGTGGCCTGGCACTAGCCAATAGCACTAGAAGCTAGCGTTAGCTTAGGCCTGAACAGCTTTACACGCAGCCACATGGGGTCATTTACAGAAAACTTATGTTAGCATTTTTTTTACTCAGATTTTATGTATATGATGGTTGTTTTTTTATACTGTTAGTTTTCTAGTAGTAGGTTTAAAATTGTGATGTATCGCCTTGCTTGCAGTATCGCAATATATCACAATATTGAATCGTAACCACTGTATCATGATACATATCATATTGCCAGATACTTTTCAGTACACAATGCTACACTCTTAAAAATGATTGTTTTTTTTTTAAAGGTTTTTTATTAAAGAAAGTGGTTCTATATAGAATCATGAACACTCCAAGAACCCTTTGCATGAGTAAAAGGTTATATGCATCATGATAGGGTTCTTCAGATTGATGGGAAATTCTGAAATGAAACGTCTTTCTGTGGTTGTACTTTTGCATGAAGTGCTTGAAGTGGACGGTTGTTCATACATCTTTGTGTCTTTCACTGGTTCACTGGTCCTGAATTAGACTGAGAGCAGATGACCTCTTAAGGTCTGACAGAGACGTTAAATTGTGTGAAAAAATCTGACACTTTTGCTTCGCCATTTTCTGCACGCTGACGTTCACTGGGAAAAGCTTAGCTCGCCTCATCGTCTTTATTTGTCACGTTTTGCTGCTCTGGTGGAAATCCCGTGAGCACGCAGGTGTTTTTTTTGATAGGCGGACGCATCTATGTGACGCTGTAGCCTGTCAGTTATGTTTTAAGATGAAAAATGATAAAAGAAAATACATAAAAACAAAGAAGTAATAAATACAAAAATAGTAATAAATTACCTACGAAAAATAATATTCCAAAGTTGCTACCTGTCGCCACTGGCAAGTTATTTTAATACTTGCAAAATAATAATTGTGGTCGCATTTGCGACCATTTTAGTCGCAGTCTGGAGCCCTGTATATAGAGCATTTCATGCTTAAATGGTTCTTTGCATGGTGAAATGGTCCTTCAGAGTGATGGAGAATGTGTTGTATATGATTCTGTATAGAGCTTTTTTAAAAAATGTTCTGTACAACACCAAAAAGGTTCTGCTATTGTTACAATGTCAAGCTGTTACCAATAGAAGAACCATTTTTGGTGCTGTATATAATCATATACAACACATTCTCTATCAGTCAGCACACAGATGACAGGAACCATTAAAAAGAACCATTTAAGCATGCAAAGGGCTATTTGAGTGTTCATAGTTCTATGTAGAATCATTTTCTTTACTAAAGAACCCTTGAAGAACCATAATTTTTAAGTGTGTACAGTGTTGGTGCTGCTCATCTGGCTGGTGTTGTGTGCGTCTGTGGTTGTACAGGTAAATGAGGAAGGTGTGCTCTGAGTCAGGTTAGTCCAGCTAAGCGCCGCTTTGTAGATCTTCACAAACATCGACTGAAACCAAGATGTAAACCTGCGTCAGTCATGCACTAAGAGCTCTGCTAGTGTTTACTTGTGAATGGTGCTCAACTTCAATGTGCTCTGGTTGGAAAAATGGGCATCAGTGTAGTTAAAATAAAGCTTCCTCTCATTGCCCTCTGCCTAATCATCTCGCTGACATGAATGCCATTCTCTGCCTTTGTTTTACTCCGGAAATGAGTCATTAGAAACACTCATTTTTAATTGACTGAAAAGAGAATTAAGTAGCTAGTATTCATTTTTCTGACTCACCATGAGTTTCCAGAAAGGCTTTTTCATGTGGGCTGAGCTTCAGGTATGAGCTTCAGGTATTTGTGTTTGATCTTCAGTGAGAAAAGCCAGTTGCAGTATAGATGGGCTTCTGTGCAACGTCATCACAGAGATGCACGCTCAACTAGGGAGCAGGAAGCAGCACTCTTAATGTCAGAAAGGACAAGGACAGTAAACTGCACCAAACGCAGAGAAGATGGTTGGAGAATGTTTAATATTCCGAGGATATCACATCACTTTACCAGACACAGCAGAAGTTTATGGATCCAGGCCATCAAAAGGGCAGATTGGGGTCCCGATGGTCCAAGAGACAGTGAAAGTCTGTGCGGCGCCCACTTTGTATCCGAATGTAATGTTTTATTGACAGGGTGATCAACACAGGCTGTCAACACATCCAAACCGTAGTTTTAATACTGGCAGCATTTTCTGACGCAGTGATTCCTATTCAGCAGCTTCTCGTTCAAATTGATTTTGTTCAGTAGGTCACAGCCTAACTGAACGGCCAACTAAACTATCTGTTTACATAGCTTAGGGGCATGTCAACTAGCCATAATTGTTTGTGATTTGCTAGATGTTAGCTAAACATTTATTCAGTAGCAAACTTAGTGGGCAGATTATCATAGAGAGTTGATGACTAGCCGATACTGATAGTCAACTCTTGTTAGGTAACATTTTACATGATGTTATGTTAATATACAAATGAAAGACAAACAGATTCAACTCTGGTATTTTATTATTGAGTCAACAAGAATTCACAACCTGTGTAAAATCTTTGTTGATTATAGCAGTTGACTGATGTTCCGATCTTGTGACCAGCTAACTTAGCAAAGCAGTTAATGTCTGTAAACAGGAAACACGTCTATACACCGATCAGCCATAACATTAAGTCCACCTATACACCTCCTTGTATCTACACTCATTGTCCATTTTATTAGCTCCAGTGACCATATAGGAGCACTTGTAGTTCTACACTCACAGACTGTAGTCCATTAGTTTCTCTGCATACTACCCCCACAGGACCCCCACAGAGCAGATATCATTTGGGTGGTGGGTCATTTTCAGCACTGCAGTGACACTGACGTGGTGGTGTGTTAGTGTGTGTTGCGCTGGTGTGAGTGGATCAGACACAGCAGTGCTGCTGGAGTTTTTAAACACTGTCCATTGACTGTCCACTCTGTTAGACACTCCTATCTTGTTGGACCACCTTGTAGATGTAAAGTCAGCTGCTGCTTCACAGTTTGTGTCATCCTCTGGTCTTTAATCAGTGGTCACAGAATGCTGCCCACAGGACGCTGCTGGCTGGATGTTTTTGGTTCTCAGTCCAGCAGCGACACTGAGGTGTTTAAAAACTCCAGCAGCACTGCTGTGTCTGATTCA